GCCTTTCTGTATGCATGTTGAGAGCTACAAATTATGTTATTCATGGAGAGTTATTAATTCGTTTGTAGACAATCGTTTCCATCACTTTTCCTAACACAGGTAACAAACTTATAGGATGACTATTCGAGCCGGAAAAAGGCAGTTTCTTGTTTCTTGGCAGTGGGATTATTTTCGCTTGTCTCCAAGCTTGTGGACATGTACAGGTCATAAAGCTGAAATTAATAATATGAGTTAATGCAAGAGCAATCTCATCAGCAACCAGTTTGAGAAGCCTGCTGTCAAGGTAATCAACAGCGGGTGGTTTGTGTTTACAATTTTTCAGGAAGTTCTCTATCTTATTTATGTTTACATTTACCAGTTTGAACTTGCAGCTTTTTCTAGTCATAATCTTCATCTTATTCATAGGTGAGTTATATCATTACTTAGATTAGGCATATTTTCTCTTAGTTTTTCTAGTTTGCTAATAAAATAATCACTTCAATAATTTGCAATTTCTCTGGGCATAGTTATGAACTTATCATCTGCCTCCAGGAAGGATGGATTGGTTTTGTTTTTCCCACCTGTCAGGTCATTTAAAATAGTCCATATTTTTTTACTATCATTTCCTACCTCCTTAACTTGATTTTCAAAATATATTTTCTTTTTTTCCTGTTAAGTTTAGTAACAGAGTTTCTCATTTTCCTATAGAAGTCCCAGTCACATTTATTTCCTGTTACAATTGCGTTTTTTTTGTTTGTTTGTTTTTTTCATTTGATCTCTCATTTTCATAGCTACTTTAATTTCTTTGTCCAACCAGGGCATTGTGTCATTCCTGACCGTAAACTTTCTTAATGGTGCATGTTTCTCCACCAGAGGAAAAAATAAATTATTAAACTTCAACAGGGCAATTTCAGGATTAGTTGATGCTTACACTTCTGACCAAGAGATTTCTTTCACATCATCAACAAATAAGTCATGATTGAACAGTTTGTACGATCTTTTAAATATTATTGTGGGTCCAAGTCAACTTACTTTAGAGTTTCTAACGACTTTGATCAGGTTTTGATCACTACTGCCAATGGGCACAGACAATATCTTCCTACATAGCTCTGGAGAATTTGTAAAAATATGATCAATGCATGTAGATGTGTTGGTGCCATCATGCTTTATACCTATTCTTGTGGGTTTATTTATGACTTGAGTGAGGCCACATGAATTTGTTGCAGTTTGCATCTTGTTCTTCAGAGGACAGTTTTGAGAAAATCAGTCAATGTTAAAATCTCCCATTAAGCAAAAATCCTGACCCACAATAGTATCTTTATCCAACATTTCACAGATGGTATCAAGACATTCATTATAAGCGCTGGGTGGTCTGTAACTGCAACCAAGAAGTATAGGCTTTTGGTAAGGCAAATGAGACTGTAACCATAATATTTCAACATTATACTGCATCATATTAGTACGCATTTTCACAGGCACATAATCCTAAACATAAAAAGCTACTCCCCCACCGTATCTATTTCTATCATTTCTTTAAATGTTGTAACCTATAATATTTAGCTCAGTATTCTCAAAGGAAGAGTCCAGATGAGTCTCTGAAATAGCAAGTATGTGCAATTTATGTTCAAATAACAGCTCAGTGACATCATTTATTTTTGTTTCTAAGACTGTTTATGTTAATATGTGCAATACTTAAGCCACTCTGCACGGGGAGAACGTACAAACTCCACGCAGAAGGATCCCGGTGCCCCCACCGGGACACAAACCGGCGACCTTCCTGCAAGGCAACAGTGCTACCAACTGTGCTACCTTGCAGCCCGTCTGTGTAGTGCTCATTGATAGATATTTTAGTGCCCTTGAGGCTCTTGGCTCTTTGCATCACCACAGCCTTGTCCTTGAAACGCAGGAACTTGACCACAATGGGTCTTGGTCTTTCTCTTTCAGCTTCCAGTTTACCTGTGCGCTGTGCACGCTCCACCTCTATCTCCCTCTGTAGCTGTAACTTCTGCTTCAACATGTCTTTTACTTTCTCTTCTGAATCGGCCCAGGATTCACCTGGGGTTTCTGGTATTCCATCAATCACAGTGTTGTTCCTCCTCAATTGACTCTCCAGGCACTCATGCTTGTCCAGAATGACCTGAAGACTTGCACATACCTTTATAATGTCTGTTTGAGTTGTGTTGCAATGATCAGACTGTTTTCCTTGAGTGAGCTTCAGTTCATCCACATCTTTCTGTGTAAATTGTATGCTCATTTTCAGATCTTGCGTTTCTTTCGTGATTACATCCATCCTGGACTTTGTCGAGTCCATAATGACTTTAACAACGTCTTTAAACATGTCCTGTTGTTGCTGTAATAGAGCAGTGAACATGTCTTTCTGATTGTTTAACAAGTCATTTACCTGAGTGAGTGATACATATTCTTCATTAGTGTTTCTTTGCTGCTTTGGTCCCATTTTCTTTGTACCAAAGGATTTAGGCAGTGGTACCAGGTTGCCGAGCTATGATGGGATGGCAACAGCAGGTTAGCCTCGTAGCACCGGTGTCTGTCAGCAGCCAGGAACAACTTGAAGCTAGTTGTTTGTTAGCTGCTGGCACTAAGCCTGGGCCTGGTGGATCCCGGGTCTG